AAAAATTTTATCCATATTTCTTCATTCTTTTTCTTTTTTTGGAAAAATTTATTTGTGTGTTTATTTTAAATTAAACTATTAAATTATGTTTTAAATTAAACTGTAATAATATAAAGATTATACACTTATGGGGAACCATGTGATACTCTGATGCACATGTATTTCTGTAATGTTTCTATCAGGTTAAACATATCTTCCTGTTCCTCCTTTCCCATATTTTGGAACCCTAACTATGTATTATTGGAACATTTTATGTTGTGATGTTTCTGACATTTTGTTCACTAATTTTAGGCCTCTCTGCCTTTCAAACTCTGAACTCTGTCACTGAGCTCTTTCGTCTGAGCTGCTTCAGACTGTAATCCAGACAATTGGCCTCACAATGCTTCGATTCATGGTGGAGAGTAGAAAGGCAAACAAAGAAAAGAGGCCAAGTATCAGGGACTGCTGACTTTATAAGAACCTTCTTTTGTGGCAACTACTCCACAATGAGAACTCATAAGAGAAAAACATTGTGTTAGTGAGATCCCTGGTCCTGTAACAAATAGCTGAGATCAAACACCTTATGAAGAGAAAAGGTTTGTTTTGGTCTCCAGTTTTAGAGGTTTCAGTTTACAAATGATTGGCCTCATTGTTTTGACTCTGCGTGGGCACCTTATGGAGGGAGTACATAGTGGAGCAAGCCAGAGAGAATGGTCCTACAGTGCCCTTTGAGGGCACTCCCTGAATTACTAAAACCTCCCTCGAAACACTGCCACACTAAGGTGTTGCACCTCCAGATAGTGCCACTCCAGGGAGTGAGCTTTTAATGCGTGGTCCTTCAGAAGATACTCTAGATCCAAACCATAGAAAAATTAATCACTCATGACAGCTTTGCCTGCATGATTAAAACCCCTTCCACTTGACCACATAGGGGACCAAGCCTCCACACGAGCTTTGGTGGAAATAAACCATTGAAAGATGTGAGTTTTAACTTGTAGGACAAGATGACAAAAATAACAAACTCTAAAATATGCATATTTCCAGAAGTTTAGTGACCAGAATTGTTAATATGATGTCAGAGGACAACTTTGGGAAAGTTGCTATCTCTTTATAGTTTATCTGATAGAGACCACTATTTTAGGGATAGGAAATAGTTTCACTTCAAATAACAACTTTGATTAGAGTGCAGCTGCTGTGTCTGCTGTAATCTAGAAGGATTCTGAGGCATTGCTTTGGCTCAAAGTGTAGAGTGATGTGATCAAAATGTTTGAGAGGACCCAAGGTCCCCTCGTGGAAGCCTTTCATCATGGATCCTCCTCTTTGTTCTATGTAGTAATAGAGCTTACCTCTCCTTCCTCTCGCTCAATGAAATCCATTTATTTTATTTATTCAGCAGGGATTTATTGAATGCATAGTACCTTAGTGCCTGGTACCATATTATGAACTAGAGATGTAAAATAAAATGACCCGGGTCCTTGCACTTAAAGGATTTAGACAACAAAACAACAGTATCAGTGCATTAAAAATTCCATATTTTTATGCATGAATAGTAGTCTGAAGTGCTATGTTATCTTTTTACTTTTTCCTCATCAAGTCCTTTTTCATTTTGCATCATCAAGCTCAGTGTAATTAAATATCAAAGGCATGCTAAAAACTGTCATTCTCAACTCGTTTGGAGGTCAAGATGAAAAATCTTACAGAATTCATATATCATGGTCAATTGTCATTCAACAGAGAACATGGTTATTTAAGTATGTAGGCTTTGATGAGGTGACAGCTATATTTTGACACACATTCCAAAACGCCATGGCAAAGGGAAACTAATATATATCATTGTGGGATGGCAGCTATTCAGAAGAAAGATGGAAACTATTTCAGAAAAATTTCCATTAAAGTAAATCTGTACATAGATAATGATCATTTTTCCTCTTTATTTTTATGGTCCTCTCCTTCCTCCTATTTCTTGCCTCTTTGGGGACACAATAGAATTTTCTTATTTTTAATTGAGGATAATGTTTTCATTCTCTTTATATATTGTGAATGGACACCATCATGGCTCAGAGAGTATGAAAGAGAAGGCCCTCAAGTTCTTTATCTGTCTCACCTTCACTTTTTAATCCTTACGTTCAATCTTTAATCCTTATCTTCAATTCATTGGATACTTCAGTTCATCAGTCAGATGACCGACATACTTTTTCTCTTCTTGGCTTGCTAAACCTGTACTGAAGTGTGACTTGTTGCTTTCCTCCAGTCGTTAGAGGGGAAAATATCATCAGACATTCTCCAAAGGCAGATGAATATGTGTGAAGTGGAGAACTGACCAGCTTCTTGGCATTAAACAATCTTTCATAGCCTACTTCATGGCTGTATTTGGTTCTTCCAGTTTCACTGACTTTGAGACCCTCTTCCTCTTCAACGTATGCTTACAGTAGTATATCAGGATGACTAAGACATTGAATGTCATTGTTTTATCTAATCTGCTCTCATAGTTTCATGGACCTGGATTAAACTGGCTTAAACTATGAATCCAGGGTGGAAAAATGGGAGAAGCTATTAGATCTACAGTTCAATTTGAATCCCTGAAACTTCTGTCATAGTCTGTACTTTGGTAATCAGGTTTCCTTAGTTTTTCCAATATCTTATTATGATGGCACTTCGTGCATTCTTGATGCCTCAAAATATATGGTACGATTTTCCTACTCACTAGACTAAAACCTATTCCAAAGAAGGGACAGGGTCCTGTTATTTCTTTGTGACCCTGGTGCAACATTTTAGAACAAAGCAGGTGCTCTGTATCTTTATGATTCCCTCCTCATGGTCATCATTACTACCTTTTTTCTGTCATGTGCGAAGTGCTTCATATGTGGAATGCTTTTCCTGACCCTTTCTCTGTTGTCTTTTTCTGTATTTTCTTCATTATATTTTTCTGCGGACTGAATCAGGTAGAACTCCAAACAAGGTCACTGGAGCATAGGATAATCATTTTTGTTGTTACAGTAGCAACAGGCTGACTACCATCATGATATCAGGTCGCATTTGATGAGAAGTGTGTGATAGAAAGGCATGGTGGCATGTGACATTTTAATATGAGCACTGAGTTCACACTATATGGTACTTGAATATATTTGGGATAGTAAAGGCAAGTCTACACATCTGAACATTTAGTGTACCTCTCAGGTACACTGTAGACACATGCCCTTGCACATTCAAATGAAACAAACAAGAGACAGCCATTTAAAAAATACTTTGGACATTTAGTTTGGTTTTCTAAATCATAACTACGAAGTCTTTGTTCTCCAAGATCTACTGTCCTAGTGAATGGGAGACAGTATTGTTAGTTTTTAGGTGTGTGCGTACAAAAAGGGCATTCCTGAAAACATTTTATGTCATCTTTATTTTTGTGGTAATTTGGCTCCTACTACAGGCCAATAATTACTGTATTAGCTGCAGTTGGACTTTGAGACCTAAAGAGCTCAATTTAAATTCCAGATCCCACACTACTGACAGAGTGAATCTGAGGAAGGATTGGATCCTAGGTTTATGTGATCCTTGAGAGCCTTAATTCCCCCCTCTCCCTTTCCCCCCCAAATTCCCATTTTTGAAGTGAAACTGATTGTAATAAGTACTTCAAGTGTTTGAACATCAGAAGTCATGACAATGAAGCACAACACATGATACACTGAAACGCAAAATTTGTTTTTTTCTAGTTATTGTTATGTTTCCCAGTGAACACAATTTACGAATATTCACTTTCCTGGAATCTTTATTCCAAATGAACTCTTAATAATTTGTCACATTAGAGCTTTATGAAAAGTATCCATGATGAGCCCCGGTGGTGTCATTTGTGCCTAGCAAGTCCATAGTAGGAATTCCTTTCAGTGGTTTTACTGAGTTTGCCAGTTGATAAAGCACTGGAGAATGCAGTGTTCATTGGAAGTTTGAACATTTCTGTTTAACCTGTGTGATGTTTGACGTATTAGAACGCTGTTACTGCTTCTGGTGGAGCAACCCTCCAACATGCATGGTCCCAAATAACCAGAGCTGTGCCTTCCAAATTGAAGAAGTCACATTCCTGGGTGCCATGTGGAAATTTATGTAACCTGAAGACTCCTATGCTTTGGTCCAGCTGGGGCCCTTGCATTTTATCTTTTGTTCCGTGGTCTACATTGGGTATTGTGCAAATCATTAAAAGTTCTTAGTGTATATATATATTAAGTTTTTCATGACTAATGTTTATTTTGAGATTTAAAAAAGGAACAGAAAAGGAAAGTTAAAAAGTGCCTTATTTTGTGATATTTTATTTATTTTATTTTATTTTGTGATAAATTTTATTGTGAGATAAATTTTGTGTGTGATGAATTTTTTGAGTCTGTGCAAATGACCTATGTTGTATAAGATTGGATCAAAATGGGACAGTTAACAGCCGTATTTACTGCCTTCTCAAGTTGCATCCATCCTGCACTTCTTGCCTTTATTTTTGGTTAGTTTTGTAAGATTAAATACTTATTATCAGTGGCTTTGGTTACTATACAGGCATCACACCCCCACATCCCACACTCCATCATCAGGTCTCGTGAGCAGATTCAACCAAACCTGAATCAAAAACATTATGTAGTTACTGACGTATGCTATAGAGTGAGGCTTACAAGGATGTTAGATGTCTTTATACACTTAATAATCCATACGGTCACCATTTATATATAACATTCCCATTATATTAGGTATTATATGCGAGAATAGATTTAAAATAAAAGGGAAGATAGGCAAAATGTATTCTGCTGTTTTGTGTAAAGGACTTGAGAATTCTTGGAATTTGTATACAGGGAATCCTCCAAGCAGCCAATCTCCACTAGGTATGGAAGGATGACTATATTTTTTCCAGCAGTCTAAATGAAGTTGCATTATTCTTTGTGTAACTGTAAGGACCATAAAGAATGTTTTAGGACAGGGAGAAATGGGTACTGAACTCCAAGGTCACCAACCCCTATAAATATTTATTTGCCCTTTGTGCTTTTTCCTAGAACAAACATCTGACAAGTCTGTTGAGGAACAAGTCTTTGGTAAGTGATAAAATTAGCACTGAGTTGGATTAAGATACACATTAGTTTATCCATTAAAAAATATACGCTTCTTTCAAAATCTAGAAACACCTACATAGTTCCTAAGTACAAGAAACTGCTACCTGAAGGTTGTCAGGTTCTTCTTTGAAGGAGCAGATTTCTCATTTCTGAAGGGAGTTCCTTACTTTGGGCTTTTGAAAGACTTGCCCAGGAAGAGCATCTTGTAGCCACTGGTAATTTACTGCTTCTTTTACCCAATACACCTCTTATGCTTCCATCTTTCCATCTCAGCCTATGACTGTGACACACACAAGCCTTAATCCAGTCTTTTTATGAAAAATCTCCACAGTCGAGTTTTCCTGACACTGAGTATTTCACCCCATCCTGTCGTGTGTCTAGCTCTCTCTGTAGCTGAGCCCGTGCAGTGCAGCCTTGCCACTCACTGATCTGTGGTCTGAAACTCAGCAGTCTGGGCAGCCCCTGGGAGTTAGAGATGTAGACACTCCAGCGCTGCCCCAGGCTTGCTGAAGCAGAACCTGCATTTTTCACAAGTTTCACATTTCTCAGGTGGCTCATGTGCAAATAAAAATCTGGGCAGCATTGTCTTCTACAGTTGCTCAGCTTTTGTGTACCCATATTGCCCGGAGAGTCACAAATATGGACTTTTGTGCCCTGACACTCAATGTTACTTGGATCCCAAATCCTCCACTAACAAGATGGTGAGAATATTAAAGATCTACTAGAACATTTGAACTGTGGCATTATTTTGAGCTGTGGCCACCATGGTGAAGTAACTGTCATGTTAATTAACTTGCATCTTTTTACAGTGTATGCAAAGATTAAAACTTCACACTGTACCCAATAATTGTGCATAATTATTATATGTCAATTAATAAATTTATAAGTTATTATATATGTTTTTTCTTCCTCCATACTCAAATACCACTATTTTTTGTGTGCTTTGATTTTGCCACTTTAAAGTACTTGCTCTCTATTTATATAACATTCACAGCATCAAAGTTCTTTCACATACACTTTTTTTTTTAATCTGCAAATGATTCTACAATGTAGTTTGGCAGGCAATATAATATTTTTAAGAGAGTACTTTGCAAGTTCTATTTATACTTTTCTAACCTTAGAATTGAGATAAAAAGTGGAACATATTTTGGGAAAATGTAGAAGGCAACCATCATTTTGTCACCCAAATATCAGTGAATTCTTCTGCCTCAAACTGTATCATGGATCAAAATAATTTTTTGCTCTGTATGAGCTGAGTTATGTTCTTATTCATAAACCTTGTCTTCTCAGTTAGAGATCTTATACAAATTCCATTTTCCCATAGAAGGTGTAAATGGGGGAAATGCAATGAATTGTGGCTAAATCAGTGCAGAAACTGTTTTGCATCCTCTGAAAAGTACATTTATACTGGGGGAAACACTCCCAGATCCTAAGAGTGTTCCATCTAGAATTTGGTATGTTTGATTGAAGAAAGATGCCACCAAGATTGGGTAAGTGGTGCCATTGCTGTATATCCTACTGATTGAACCTTAATCATTTATATATTTTTGAAGAGATAAAGAAAGCTCATGTTATGCCATAAGTGAGTTTAGGGAACTTATACTATTGTTGAAATTAACTGATATACAACATACCTCAGTATCTTCTATTGCAAAGAAGATAAGGCCTAGAGTAGCCAGCAACTCATTCTTATTTGAGTTCACTCCCGTCTATTAAATTCTTTCTGAATCTGGGACTTTCATCTGTGTAACCACCTCCAGGCACTAGATGTTGCAGTTATTTTGAGTCTTTCTGACATGATTATCCTCTACATATAAACATATCTTAGTACCAGATACCTGAAATTAAAAAAAAAATTCCAATAACTCCTCCTGATCCTCCAAATACCACCTCCTTTCTTTAGGAATTGTTACAGGCACAATGCCACTTTTTACCTTCCTGTTCTGTCATAATTTACGCTAACTGGTGGAGGATGTTATTCTGGAATACTTCCTGGAAGAGCTGTTTATCCAACTCTCAAAGATCTCTATCTACTTTATTCTTTTAATCAGCATTCTTCTAGCCTTTCTCTCTGGAGCATTTTATGTAGTCACTCTTTGTTAAAATTACATTTTTTTTGCTTCCACATTCTGGCATTTCTTGTGTTATCTTCCTCTCTGTCCAATCTCTAATGTGTAGGTTCTCATTGTTGAAGCACTTACCGGATGAATTTTCTTTTTCTAATTTTTCTGCTGGTTTCCCATGTATAATACCGTGAATACACTGTTAATTCCTAAATAGAAACCTGCAACCTGATTCTTCTCTCTTGCCCCAGACTTGTATATCCAGCTTTGCATCCCACCACACCTGCTCTTGTGCTTATGTACCCGTCTTTGAAAACGTGTCACGTCTGACAACCTGCAACACTTCATTCCAGTCTCTGTCCTTTTTCCTTTGGACAATTTTGATGGCCTCCTACTGGTTTCTGTCCTGTGGTCGTAGCCCTGCTCTGCTTCGTTTATCAGAGCAGCTAGGAGGCTCTGTTCAGCTAGTTTCTGTTCTGGAAATCAGAAAGTGAATTGAACAAATAACCGACTAAATCTTAGAGCACAGGTACTAGTGATTTCATATTTTCATCATAATCAGTATTTATTTCACTTAAAGTTAAGTTAGTGAAACTTATTAAGTTAGTGAAACTTAACTTTATTAAGTATTTATGACATAAATATCAGAATCGCAGATGAGCCTCCTGAACAGAGTTGATGTCATGTATACTGACTCATTTGACCCCCACAATTTGATTCTGAAATTGTGACTCAATTTAAGTATAAAGATTTTGTAAATGCATTTATAAATGCCAATATTTAATCACCATATGTAGTCACTCTTTGTTAAAATTTAATGCACCATAATTTATGAATTTGATTCAGTAAAAATTTTGAGAGGTCTTTTGGAGTAAAACCTGTTAATTTTAAATATAACAGTATTAAACCATGGTTTTGACATTTTAATCTACTCTACTTGTTTTAATTGGATTACAGTGTTTACTGTGTCAGTGTTGAAGACACTGATATGACTCATTTATGTCATTTCAGCATCTGTGGCTTTTAAATTCTTATTGGTCATATTTCACACCAATTTTCAAACCATTTTTCTGATGTCAAATTTACTAAGAAGATACTATTCTTTTACCATTTTTGTCAATAAATATTGTTATGAGAAATTTTAGCTAGTCTTAGTTTTATTTTCTATCAGTTGTTTCTCTAAAATTTTAATTTTTTCCTAAGTCAAATTTTGCTGTTTGTGATCACCAATTGTATGATTCTTCTAGTTGTTCTGAGTAGTTATTAATTTGGTTTAAAAAGAACTTCAGTATTACTTATATCCTTAGCATTCTGTTTTATTTTCTCATGGTGATACTCACCTGATCTTATTTTATTTGTGCTAAATTGTATTTTTATTGAATATCCTCATTGTCAAAATGCCAAGGTTAAAATGTTCTGTAATTTTAATAACACATTATTTTCCTCTCTCACTCACGGTATCAGTGTCAGCCAGAGTTATAACTATTGAAAATTCTTGCTTAATAGATTGGACTGCACATGGAAATAGTGAAGGCCTTAGAGGCAGCTCCAGGAACAAATGTAAATTTAAGGGAAAAGGACACATTTCTCTTGGCAAAATATTTTATGTAAATTTGACCTGCTATTCATTGGGCAAGAGCTCTTCCTTACCTTTGAACTTTTATATCCAATGGCAATCCTATCTGGTGTCCTCTCTCGGGTAGACAGACTGTCAGTAGGCACAAAATATTGCAATCAATTTTTTGTTCATCCGTGTAAGAAAGAGCCTTTAGAAGCTGAGTGAATAACAGCAACCAAAAAAAAATGACTCTCTTACAGCTAGATGTTTCATTTTAGCTTTGGGGAGGTTAGTTTAAGTTATTGATTAGTCCCTGAAATAGTGTGGGCTATCTGCCTAACTTCCAAATAATTAAAACAGATGAGGTGACTACTAGTGTCTTCAGGTATGTTTAAATGACAATCACAGTAATACACTTCTTATAGTGGTTATTGTGTGTAGAACACTATTCTTTCTTCCTGTTTCCCATATGCTTACCCATGTCTACCCATTTGATAAATAAGGTGACTAAGGAATACAGACCTTAAGTAACTCACACAAAATAAACACAGTGACAAATTTAATGCACAGTACACAAATTTTTTTTGCATAGAGTTTTAGGATATATCTTGTTTTTATGTAAAAAGGACTTTGATTCTCTTCCATAGGACATGGGTGATCCTATGATGTCCCATTGACATGGCCTTGCAGTACATAGATGGACAGAGAGAAATTTTGAAGTATTTGACTACAACAGGGATTATCCTTATCCTGTGCTTCATGACAGCAAATCCCAGCAGGAAAACAGAAGTGATTTCTCCATGTCAGGCAGTGACCACAGTCCTACTCCTTCTACTTGTACCACTTCCGGAACTTGCTTTGTTGGTTCATCCCCATAGTAACCAACCAATATTGTAAAACTCCTGTATTATCACGTGGTTAGGTGGACAAATTACATTTGAGTGTTAGTAAATTCCTGGAACATAACTCAGAAAGTTTCATTTCCCTGTTGTGTCTCTGTCTGTCTCTGCCATCTCTTATTCTTTTTTCTCCTTACTCTCATTCTGATCCTGAATCAAACTACTCTCCTGGGTGACACTCAGCTTCCTATTTGTTCTCTGCAGAAAATCATATGCACACTTATGAATTTTGGTTGAATGTTCTGAATGCAACCTGTGTACAAGTATCTCTACTAGAATTGCTCTGGTTTCTGCCCAGGAATATTACTACTTCGGTCTCTGTACAGACTCTGTACAGTCTTTTGAGTTTGACTTTTCACCTCACTGTTTGTTCTGTACTCCCTGCACTTTGGTTCAGTCTACAAAGTCTACAAAGGGTGTATTCCATGACCGTTTTTTTTTTAACTCTAGCAGTGGTAGGCA